ACTGAAGGCCTAGCTCTAATAGCCCCAGTTCACTACTGCTGGCCAATTTGACTCACAACACATTGTAATTTATATATATATATTTAGTACATTGGTTAACAGTGCAGACTACTACTTCTGCATTTAATTCATCTGCGGCACACCTGATTTCATTTAATGAAGAACTGTTTTAGCCAAACTAAGTATTGGATCATAACTGTAAACACTGGGCTTCCTTGAGGAGAATTAAAGTATGGACAAAGGTCATTTCTGGTGTGATTTTGAGCTTTGATGACATCTGTAAAAGCCGCTGCATTTAAAAAACATGTTCACAAACGAGTTTATCTGAATAAAGCAAGCATGAATATCAGTTGATAACTGCAGTTCGCTAACATAAACAAGCCAAAATGGCAGAGTAACTGTACCAGCTCCTACTCAGGTAAGAACACTAAGGGAGCTGAAAGAACTCAGGTGTGTTGTTGATCATACAAAACACATCTGTATAGACTCCAAACACAAACCGGAGTGATTAAAATATGATGCAAACTGCAGAAAATCAGTCCAGCCCAATCCTCTCTGAGCACTACCTGGAGAAGACAAAGCAGAAGCCTCAGAATCCACAGAGAGGTTTACATGCGACGTGCTCAGGAGAATTCTGTCAGAATACGACCATCAGTAAACTGTAAATAACAGCAGTCAAGCAGTTACGGCCAAATGATCATAGAACTCAACTGCAGCCAGTCTACTGATGAATTCATGGATGAAAAGTATCGGGTATGAAAAGCACACAAAGCCAGACAGTTTTAATCTTGAGCTTAAACAGACGTCCACACACATACACGGTGGCACACTACTCAAATGTTTACTGAAGAGTAGTAGTTTTAAAATTACTCTTATTCTCTTTGCCCTTCCATTTGCTCTCTCTCTTCCTTCGTTTTAGCCCCCATTCATTATTTCATCCCTCTCTATCTCTCTCTCTCTCACTCTTTTCCCCTTTTCACTCTGTCTATCTGTTTTTTCCCTTTCCTTTTTTACTGCTCTGTTTTGAAAACCCATCTCTCTCTCTCTCTCCCTGTCTCTCTCTCTCTCTCTGTGTCTCTCTCTCTCTCACTCTCTGTAGGCGTGAGGGCAATCTGTGGCAGTAATGTTCCTGGAGAGAGCAGAGTGTGTCAGTGTGAATCAGACAGATGAGCTGGGGAGGGGAGTTAGAGCGGCGAGCGGTGCATTAATCCCCCCTCCACTCCTCCTCTGTCTCTCTCTATCTCTTTCTATCTCTCTCTTCTTCTATCTATCCCTCTATCCGTGACTGCCCCAGGGGCCCTGCCTGCACACAGAGAAGAGTGGTCCAATGACCACGCATACCACCTTCACTAAAAGCAACAGCCTGACCCCGCACCTATCACACACACACACACACACACACAGTCCTCCCTTCATGCCAACACAGTCATCTGCATCTCCGTTCATGAAACACACAGTAATTCTGTAGACAAGAGGGTGTAATGATTCACAACATTCATTATTCCATTAGATACGATACAGTGGTGTCTCGATGCATTGTTTGTATACAGCATTAATAACCTATGGCCACAATGTACCTTATGTTAAAAAGCCCTTATCATGAAAAAATGAATTTTCCTCATTTTCTTGAAATAAAAGAGACCGATTTAGTTTCAAAGCATACTGTTCAGTCCATTGAGTCCATATATGAAAAGAAAACTGCAAAAACAGTCCACATAACATTAACAGGAGTGTCAGTCTGGACTGCTTTTTGAATGAAGCACAATCCAGGTCAGCCAATCAGAACAGAGCTCATTTCCATATTTCAGTCTAAAAGGCACAGTAGCAAAAACAGCCTGTTTCATTGTAAGGAGAAAATAGTCACATACAAACTGTGTTTTTTTTTTTTAAATAATAAAAAAAAAAAAAATCTGAAAACTAAACATCTGACAGAACATTCTGCTGACCACTGCATTACGCTCCCATTATTGGTAGCAGGACTGTTCACTAGCAAAATGGAATTAAAGTATGAACATGCTCGGAAGCTCTGCACACCTATAATATTGTTATAATATATATTTATTTATTTAATTATTTAAGCCTTTGTGAGTCTTTGCGAGACTTTGTGATTTCAGAGGCTTGACCGTTGAGAAGTCACAGTATAGCTTCACACACAGCAATACATACTGGAGCCTGAACATATACAGCGGTATATACTGTAGCCTGAACACACACTGAAATACATACTGTAGCCTGAACACACACTGAAATACATACTGTAGCCTGAACACACCCTGAAATACATACTGTAGGCTGAACACACCCTGAAATACATACTGTAGCCTGAACACACACTGAAATACATACTGTAGCCTGAACACACCCTGAAATACATACTGTAGCCTGAACACACCCTGAGATACATACTGTAGCCTGAACACACACTGAAATACATACTGTAGCCTGAACACACCCTGAAATACATACTGTAGCCTGAACACACCCTGAGATACATACTGTAGCCTGAATACACAGCAATACATAGTTGAGGCTGAACACAATGCTATACATACGGTAGCCTGAACCCACACTGTAATTTATGTCCATTTAAGCTTTTCACAATCTAAACTTTGACATTGTTCTGTATGTTTACTCCTTCCAAAAAAAAAAGTGTCCTTTCTTGCCATTTCCGATCATTTCCAGTGTCCAAAACTTAGTAAGTAATGGCCATATCTTGTCCATATAAGACTAGCCGGTTGAATAACAGCCACTGATGTGACTGTAGTGAGTTCTGAGGGATCAATATGGCTGTACAGCTTCATATAGCCCACAGTCTAATACACCATCGCAAATGAGGTCGAAGAACTATTTCATGCCCATCACCAAATAAATCATCCACTAAAAGGGGGGAAAGAACATTCAGTTCACAGTCTGTGGCATAAGGAGATGTGTGTGTTGAGGGGAGTGGGGTATTGGGGGGGAGGTGAGAGATGAATTATAAATGCATGAAAATAAAGGCGATGGCTGTCGAAACAAGTCTTGGTGTACATGACAGGTTTAACTGGCTAAATATAGCCTGCTGGGCTAGCTGCTCTCCGAGAGCGCCCAGTCGTTGTTGCTTCACATTATTTACGTGTCTGTGCTTGCGCCCTCGATCTTGCTCTGTCGCTTTTTTCCCCCTCACTCTATCCATCCATCTCTCTCTCTCTCTCACTGTCTGTCCCTCTGTCTTTTCCCTCTCTCGTCCTTCGCCTCTCACACACTCTCACTCTCTTTCCATCTCTCACTCCCCCTGACCTCTCTCCCTCCCTCCCTCTTTCCGTCGCTCTTCCTCGCCACTCTCTCTCTCTTTTCTTCACTCACTCCTATTCTCTTTCTCTCCTCTCTCTCTTATTCCTACTCTCTCTCCTCTTATTCGTCTCACCCTCCCTCACCTCAATCTCTTTTTTCTCTTTTTTTTTCCTCTCTTCTGCTCTCCACCCCATTCCATATCAGACTGAGTGAGCACACACTACAGTCGCTAGTACTCACACATCTGAACCAAAGCCAGCTTTAACCCCCTTGATCCTGCATGCCGTATACACCTCAATAAGACTCGTTTTCTGTTTAATTATTTCTCACTCGTAGCTCAAACAAGCAGAGAAATTCTGTCTGAAGTGCAGATTCAGTTCAATTGATACTGCATTTGTGTTTGTATATAGAAAAGGAGATATTTTATTATGATTTGAGTTTGATTACAGGTTATTGTTTGTGTGTTTTTTGACGTAAATGTGTCATTACAGTATGTAAATGCAGTGAACTGTATAATTACAGATCGACACATAATCGCTGTCAAAACGAAACCTTGCATCTTCATCTTCTTTAGATTTTTTTTTAAAGATGCCAACTGCCTATTACAATGTGCCAAAATCTAATGATGAATGGGCCCAAAGAAATGGTACTTAGAATCAACTAATGTTAATTTAAATTACATAGAAAGTTGTTCTGCTGTAAAGTTTTTTGGAGATACAAAGTTACATAACTATACAGAACTAGATCTGCATTCCTGAAGGAAATACAGCACTTGTGACGCAAGAAAAGTTCGTAAAACAATATTTCTAAGGAATGAGTGATAAATAAAAAACTTTTTTTAAAAGAAAAGAACTTATGAAAATAGCACATCTCACTGAAATGATCAAACATAAAATGGTGTTTAAACAGAGTCTGTTTGAGCTGTATTAACTGCATTAAGATAAGAAAAAGAAAATAAATAACAAGAAAGAAAGAAAGAAAAAGAAAAAAAAGGACAGAAAGAAAAGAAACAAAAGAAAGAGAGGAAAAGAAAGATGGAGAGACAGAAAGAAAGAAAGAAAGAAAGAAAGAAAGAAAAGGACAGAAAGAAAAGAAATAAAAGAAAGATAGAAAAAGAAACAAAAGAATGAGAGGAAAAGAAAGATGGAGAGAAAGAAAGGAAGAAAGAAAGAAAAGAAATAAAAGAAAGAAAACGTGATTGTAAAGCCATAAAAAGGCTGAAAAGGGGAGCTATGTACAGTACACGCACTTTGAAGCTCCACCAATCAGCTTGAAGCACACTATGACATCATCACATTCCACAATTGTCACATTTTCCACCATACAAACAAATCTACTTAAAATATCTGAAATATTTTAAAAAGTATAAAAGTTATCATAATGAACACAAGCAGTATCACACCTCACTGAAGTGATCTAGAAAATGGAGTTTGAATGGTCTGTTAAGCGTTTTGAACTGTAAACTGTTTTCTAAAGAGAAGAAAAAAGAAGAGAAAAAAAAATAGGGATAACAATACAAAGCAGAATTATGTAACGTAAACTAAAGGTAAAGCAAAAGGACAGTAACACCTCTAGATTTCTAGCTAAAGCCTGAAAACCAGTCTCTGTTCAGGTGAACCCGCTGCCAAAGTCCCCAGCGAGACTTCTGACTTGACCCATTAACAGGCTTTAAAAGTCCTAATAGAGCAGATTGCCCACGTCAGATATGACTAAGCTCGGCCAGCACTCACCATGATGTAATGTCTCTGCATCTCCGTCTTCTCACTGGCCAGCTTCTCACACTCCAGCTTCAGACTGTGAATTTAAAGGATAGAACAATCAAAATCGTCAGTATATAAAAACAGATAAATAAAATTTAATTTCAGCTCCAGCCAATTCTGACAAACAAGGAAAATCAACAATAGCCTAAAACACCTGATTCACTACAGCAACAATGAAGCACATTGCTGAGAACAGATTAGTCTGAGAACACTTTATTAGCATGATTTATTTAGCAGGGCCAGCTTTAAATAGAGCTTTAACCCCTTATAATCCCAGCCTTGTTACATCCTAAGGCTTATTATACACTAACTACATGGACTACAATGCAGACTGGAGTTATTCTTAGGTCAGAAGCGTGTAATAAACGTTTGGATGTGCCGGAGGCTCCTGGCCACTTAAGAGGTTTTAATTGTCATTTTTTTGACCAAACCTGGATTACAGCCCGAGAACACTCTCTGGCCGGGTCCAGCCCGACCCCCGAGCACCAACTTCAGTCTCAACAAAACTGACTGTGGACTGTAAACTGTACTCAACACAATTCTGACTCACGATGACCCAAAACTGAGCACCACCTCCCAAAGAATTAATACAATATACCACTTAAATTATGTTTTAGCAACAATGATAACAACACTTTCAGATATTATTATTAAACAAAATAAAACTGAACAGTCTACTTAGCAATTATCTAAAAAGTTCCACTTCTATGTATATTTATCTATCAATGCCTTCTAATGACATCATCAAAGTTTTTAGTCTGGATGAAAACCTTAGACTTAAGTAACTCCAGTGTGCCAGATTCAAAACTGTTTGAGGCGTTGAAAGTAATCAGTGAGAATAAAGTACTGAGAAAAAACTAAAGCAGGGTAAATGCAGGCCAAAATCTGTTGAAGGTGGGAGACGAGCTAGAAGCAACCTGAACGTGAAACCTGCATTTCTGACGTGAACAGTCAGGTCCCACTGTGTTCCGGCAAATGTTTCAGCTCTAGTGCTAAAGCCAAACAGCAGGTTCAGAAGCTGCAGCTGACCTGTGGTACTGAGCCTGGAGGAACTGGAACTCCTCCTTAATACGGTCCAGTGTCTCCAGCACGGTGAACTTGAAGGACTGTCCAGGCTGCAGAGGGACCTAAAAGAGAGCAAATCATACTGGTCAAAAAAAGCTAGTCTATGGGGGACATGCGCTGCCTACGTGAAATTATGTGGGGGGTCTCGGAAACTGTGACAAAAGGCAGAGAGTCTACATTACTGATGACACATTTTTGAGAATGACTTCTCCAAAGCTAAACAGAGACACTTGTTGTTTCATTTCATTATAGTTATGTCAGTATGTACATATATATATATATATATATATATATACATATAGACAATGTATGCACCAAATCTGAGTCGCTTCATGTGTTCCTGAGAGGTGCAGTGGACTAAGCAGTCACCCCAACAGGAGGTTGTGAGTTTAAGCCCCAGCGACGCCACAGCCATCACAGCCAACAAGTGTGTACCTAAGACGGAAAATGTCTAGTAGGATTGTGTGATGGAAAGAGTCCTGGCTAGTGGAGACCTATAGTGGACTATAAAAAACAAGTTCATTTTATTTACTGGACTGAGATGCAGACCTAAAAAATGAAGAGAACTTTTGACTCAACTAAGAAGTTTGAGTTGTGTGAACTCTTGTGTCCTCAAGTCACAACTCAAAAAAACCCCAAAAAAAGCATGTAATCAGTTACTAAATCATTTTGAGTTGAGCTGACCACTCATTTTTAACAGTGTATATATATATATATATATATATATAGCCATTTTTTTCACATAGGTAAATATGCATCAAATGCAACAATGAATCAGTGACCCGCTTATCATTTTCATTTATAGTAATTTCCTTATTCCTCGTCACATTTAGCATTATCAAAGTTATCTCAAATACTTATAGTAACATGCAGACCAGACAAAAAATTGATTTTATTTCAGTGACAATGGAACAAAATGTGCCCCTATAAAGGGCAAGAAACTGATATATTGAATATTTATCATAAATACACTACATAGTTTCTGTTAATAATATTGTTTGTATTTTTTACCTATGTTAGCTTGAAAAAGCCAACTTACCATTTGTTTTCGTCTTCTTCTTATTATTATATACTCAGAAATTTGCCGCACTGCTCCTCCTACAGCTTTGGCATTAGAACCACAAAACTCTGCAGGATGGTAGAGTCTATACCCGAATAGGCTGCATGTGCTTTTTTAATTCAACTTGCACTTATATAATACAAAATGCTTATACCTCTACGTCTTATTCCACCACAGTCAGTACACTCTGTAGCCAAATGTTTTTGGACACTCCTCTTATGTCACCGTCATACAAGTATTCTAGCAACACCATAGCAACCACCTGGGATACAACAACAACAGCCTAGCAACAGCTCAGCATCCATCTAACAACCACCAAATAACGCCCTAAAAACAAGCTGGAAAACCATAGCAACCTTGTCGCAACATCATAGCAGATACCTGGTATTACTATATAAACCCAGTTAGGTTACTTAATTAAACTCGTCAGCAGTTTCAGTCTTTGATGTGTTATTAGCTGGCTTCACCAACCCAACTTAAAGTTTATTCACAAACTTTTCTCTTTCTAAAAATTATCTGCAAGTCATGAGATAAATGACAATACAGTAAGTCTGACTGCAAGTGTTTTACATCTAGTTTTACGTCTGAAATATCGGTCCCCTTCACTTCTGTATGCACTTGCATATGTGACAGACTGTATAAGGCTCAAAGGGCTCAGACAGAACCATACAGTACTCTCTAGCGGCCTGAAAGTAAAAACTAAAAAAAGAAATGGGTTAAAAAGCAAGTTTGTGCTTGTACACCAAAGACCACTCTGAACCAGAGTAAGTGTGATTGCTGGAGGCTCTTAAAATTGCTTCAGTTTTCTCGTTATAAAAAAGTGATGGGCTTAGGTAGCACATGCCATTGCAGAGACTCCACAGCTCATCAGTGTAAAGAAACACTACACACATGCTTTTGATCCAGATCTCAGACACATAATAGCTGCTGATCTAACACCTTTCCAGCCTTACAATCTTAAATGGTCCAAAACTTTTTTTTAACTAAGATAGTTTGATGTGCTATGTAAACAAGTTTTAAGATGTACAGTTCCATACAGCTCATATGGAAACTATAAACTAAACTAACTGCCTGTGTTGAATTCCTCATGGTTGTGATGATGAGTTTTTCAGACCGTCATATGTCTTTAGGTATTTCTGTCACTCACACAGGCTCAAAATGAAGGTCCAGTTCAACATTTAGATCTCAAAATCAATTTTGTACTGAACATACAATAACAAAAGTAGATACTTCTTACATCCATTTACATTCTTAACACGTACATCCTCAGAAGACGAGTCCTTAAACGTCTCTTTAAATACTCTTTCAACGCATTTGTAATCATCACATTCATCCTCTCGGGGAAGGGGTCCAAAGCGGAACCCACGTTATAAAAACACTCTTCCGCACGTTGCATGCAATTACACATTTCCACCAGAGAGGTCTCCAAATCCCCAAAACATACATAGTATAGCTTTAACAAATTGAAAAAAAAAAACATTACATTTTTATGGCACATTTTATGTTTTTGCCCAATTTACTAAACCCTGTAAATAAACAGAAAAATGTCATATTTAAGTGTGTTCTCTGCACAGAATGTGTTACTTTCCCTTAGAAAACTGACAATACGTCATTTGATCAGGGTGTTCAAACTTTGCGACTGTACATAGTTGCGTTCAGGAGTATATAGTGTTGCTGCTGCAGACAGTCTATAGGTGAGTTGCTGGAGCTGAAAACAATTAAACATTGTGCTGTTTCTGGCTATCGAGAATCAAATGCATCATAACAGCATTCAAAAGGATTCAGACCCAAAAGGAGTGGCAAAGTTTATTTTTTCTGACATCTCTGAGGATTTTAATCTGAACTTCTTGAAGAATTTGGCCCACATTTCAGTCCAGACTACTTCTGGAACATGGTGTGCTTCGTTTTGCTTACAAACGCATCAGCCATTTAGAACAGAGTTCATTTACATATATCAGCCAGTTTACTTCTGAAGGATAAGCAGAGGCTGGAAAATGTTCATGTAAACAAATTAGGACTGTTTTTGGTGCATAAATCCGGAAAAAAAACCTCACATGGACCTCAGAGGAAACAAATAAAATATAAGAAAAAACGTAGAACTGTTACAACGTACACTGACAGAAGAAACCAACCAAGATCAGCATCCTAATCCTATATATACACATGACGAGATGAGGCCTCCCGCTCAACTCAGACACTCTGGCCTGATCAGACCGCAGCGTTATTTACACACACTGTTCTTCATTAATTCCCTCACTTAGTCCAAGTCTCCTCGCTATTTAAAGCACAGCCTTCTTAATTCAGTCCCACGCTTCCTAAAATGGCTTCCTTTCTGTCTGCACTAGTTCTGCTCTTCTTCAAGTCCCCTCCCCTGTTTTCTTGTGTTGACCAATGTAGCACAATGTCCACCAAGTTCCGTATGGGGCATCTAAAAGATTGGCGGTTTCAGTAGGAGCTTAATTAGTCTAGACAAGTGAAATTCAATTAAATTTCAATTAGGCTAACGGTGGAGGTCAGCCACTCCGTAGGCTTTCCAGTAATTAAGCTGCAGGCTCAGCGCTGGGTAGATGGGTTCAGTACACATGACACAGGAGGGGGGGGGGCTGGCACCATATCCCCATTGACCTTCATTCACATACACAGTCACAGTTTGTCCACTGTAACTATCCTGTGGCTAACACACAGGACACCCCTTCAGAACACTGTTACACAACGTCAGCAGCTGATTATGGCCATGTTTCCATTTGCAGGGTCACTGATATCACTGGCCTTAACTGCTATGAGCCACCACAGAAAAATAAACCAGATCAGGGCAGAAAAAACATCGACGAACAAAGGTTGGTTTAACCTGAAAAACGTACATGTACAGCTGTATGCAAATGTTTGGTCAAATTATACGTTTTGTTGATTTCCTAGGTTAAAATAAGTTAACACACCCTCCACAGGGAAATAACTTAAATATGGCATTTTTCTACAATTTTTAGTCCTTAATTTTTATTTATTTGCTGAGTTATATTATATATAACCCCCCAATACGTTAAATTCAGCAAACAAACTAACTATGCATTAAGGTGTGCAGAAGTGTGTTCTCTGCATTTGATTAATTCCATGAATCCCCAGGCTTATTACAGTCCAAGGCGGTCATACTGTTTTTCTTTCATTTTTAATTCATGTTGTGCTGTAGCAGGAACTGAATAATGTTTATTCAAAATACACAAAAAACTTCAGCAGTAATTTACAGGCACTTGTGGTAGGCCTTGAAATATTATATGGACGTTTGAAATATTCCGATTTTAAACGTCCCCAGGAGCTCAGTCTTTTAAACCTCTCTATTTGCTTAAACTAGACACCTGACATCCTTTCTTTGCTACAAGTTCATTAATACTTAGGTTCAGTTTCTGAGCTGCTGAGCTCACATTAAGTGTTTATGTTGGTTGAACTGCAGCTGAAATGCAGCTAGTGCGTTTGGTGATATGACTGGTGTGGAACTGAGGTGTAATCGCTGTCCCATAGATTGTTGTTTGGGTAGGAGGGTCAGAGCACATTACTTTGCAGTGCATGCTGGGGACTGTAATGCAGCGCATTGTGAAACGGGCTAATATTAATAGAAAATTAAGGATTGTGTTGCGGGCCTGATCCGGCCCACAGGCCTTGTATTTGACACATGGGGCCTAAGGCTTATAAGTCAGTAACTACATGGAATACAATGCAAAGTACATGAGGTATTCTTAAGTTCAGATTCTGGGTTCTGGCTATTTAAGGGGAGTAAAATGTGTTGCTGTAGACAGAGTCTTGTTTGGTGGAAAGAAAAAGCATCCTTTCCATTTTTCCACAATGTTGTCATTGCTTGACATTGAAACAAACAGGAAACAGTCAGATGTGCAGACCCAAACCTGTTGATACAGAATGTCAATTGTAATTTCAAGGTAATTCATGATGTAACTATGTAATTACATATCACCACTGTCTAAAAAAAACATGTACCCCAAATTTCTCAATTTG